TTATAAAAACCTTGTGCATGCTTATGTATATGCTATTTTGAAGGTATTTATGCATATAAAAATATATAAGGAAAAATTGGGTATCAGCAGTAGTAGTAGTAGATCATATTATATTAACAAAATAATATGATCTAATGTTCTCAAACAAGACAGATCACAACATGATATGTTTAGTATTCTTTGCTATTAGCAGCAAAAGGAAATGCATGTACTAAAATCAAGGGGTTGAGTTGTTACAAATATAAAAAAATATGTTGTCCACTATGAGATTTGAGAAATAATTTTATGTCCTAATTTATATCAAACAGTTATATGTAATCTTTATCTGGAAGATTTATATTTTAAGGTTATTAGCACATAATTAAATTAATTTAAATCACAATTTGACTTGGTTTGTGTCCACGCATAGTGCGGGTATTAATACTAGTAAATAAAAAGAGTCACCATATTTGAACAAGACCGACCTCCACATATTTGATAAAGTTGAATTACAAACGAATATCGAGATTCTAACTCTTCTCCTTTTCCGGCGAGGGGCTGGGATCAGGGAATATCTTCTCCTTCAGAGAGATGTACATGTTTTTACTGTGTGTGTTCCTCTCAGCTCCCTTTTTGTTACTCTCTCCCATGATATTTATACAAAATATTTTCCTTACCTAGCAGTCCTTAACCGGAGTGCCTAAATTCTTGGAATATCCCGTATAATATTCCTCTAAAATGTCTATGTGTTGAACTAGCCGTTCGGGCCGAATTGAGTACTCGACCTCGACCGTAGCTAAATCATTCGCTGGTATATTGCTTCCTATACGTGACTTCGGCTTGGTTGATTCTTGGTCGTTCCTCCTTAAATAGAATTCTTTTGATCAGATTTTGACCTATACACTGCTCTAACGACGTTTTAGCTTTTATTAATTCAGCATAATTTTTAAGATACTATAAAAGAAATTTGACATATTCCTTCAACATAGTTTTCGGTCTATTTCGCTCATTTAATATAAGAACCATGCTAACCTTTGAAGATAATTTTGAACTTTTTACGTCTTTCAACATTGATTTTTAGGTCTACCTTACTTTTAAGTAGGGGTGTTCATAAAAACCCGAAAAACCGACCAAACCAAACCGACCAAAAAAATCGATACTTTTTGGTTTGGTTTGGTTTGGTTTTGGTTAGAATTTTAAAAATCGAACAAATTTGGTTTGGTTTTGGTTTTAGTCAGAAAAAACCGAACCAAACCGACTAAAGGAGTAGCTATTTCAAATTTATTATTACACCTATATATATGTATATTGTTATACAAAGTTTCAAAAAAATTATGGTAAATGTTAATAGTTTGTACTTTTAATATAGTTCTTTACCTTTACATTATAGTTTGATTGGTAGTTTTCTTTTGTTTAGTGTAAGAATCCATTTCGTGTTAAAAATAACATATGTTTAATTGAGTCCTTAAATTGTTCATCACTATTTGATTCAATTATCATCAATATATCTTGGTAAATAATAGATTTCTCAAAGGGCAATTGATTTGATAGTGTTACATTGAAAATGTGGTCGCCGGAATATGTGTTTGGTAGTGTATGTCTTATATTTAAGAAAAAACCAACAAATAACCGAAAAAACCGACATAAACCGAATTGAGGAAAACCGACTTAATTGGTTTGGTTTGGTTCTAATATTTGAAAAACGGACTTACTTGGTTTGGTTTCTTTTTAGGGAAAAACCGATCCAAACCGAACCATGAACACCCCTACTTCTAAGTAACTGAATATACTTCACATACATTTCCATTTTCTAAACATGAATTAAGTAGGCGTTTGGACATAAGAATTGTAAAATTCCAGAAAATGGTAAAAAAAAAATTTCAAGTAAAAATGGTATTCGAAATTTAGAGTTCTATTTGGACATAAATTTCAGTTTGGTTTGTTTTTGAAGTTTTGTAAGTGATTTGAGTGAATATTTTGAAAAACTGCTTATTTGGAGTTTTTCCAAATTTTCAAAAATTTTCAAAATGCATCTTCAAGTGAAAATTGGAAATTTTATGAACAAATGCTGATTTCGGAAAAAGTAATTTTTTTTGGAAAAAGGGAAAAAAAATCTTTTGTCTAAACGGGCTCTAAATCATTATTATTATATATAAATATCAACCTTACTGCTAAAAAAAACGGGCTCTAAATCTGTGTGAATTTTCTAATTTTATTTCCGCTTTTTCCTCCCACGTTTATTCATGACTGAAAATATATTGGTTGATGGTTATAACTGTAGCAGTCAAAAAGGGGGGAGAGTCCGACGAATCACAGATTCGAAACGGGCCGTGAAGGTGAAACGTGAAAAATAATGTCACCGTTTTACGTGGAGCCGCCAAGTCCTCATGAACGGTGCACCTTAGCCCACGGAATTTCGTGATCTACTGGTTTTCGTGGGTCCCACACTCTAACCCGTCACTTTCTTTTGTGGACCCAGATATATAACATATGGGTCCATAAATATGCAAAATAAAAATAGTAAGGCATCAAATAAAATCACTGTGCTTAGGCCATCTCCAATGCTAACACCATTTTTTGCACCAAATTTCATACCAAAATGGTGTAATACCAAATTTACTCCAACCATTACACCATTTTTTATACCAAATCTTCTCTCTCTTCTATTATATTATTATCTTCTATTTACTTTTCTTTTTTTTTTTCCTTCAAACTAATACTATCTTTTTCTTTTTTCCATATTTATTATATATAATTCACATTTACCACTTATATAATCAATTATTATAAAATTATTTTAAAGGATAAATTAACTAAATATCTTACATTAGATATGTTACATTTATATTTTTTATTTTTAAATAATGGTTGTATTCTTTTTATACAATTATAATAATAATAAAATTAACTTATAATTTTATATAAATATAATATATACAAAAATTAATATATAAAAAATCGGATATAAAATTAAAATTATAAAGATCTTAATATAAAAATTAATTATATACCCAATATATGATAAATTAAAATTATAAAAATAAAAAGATTGAATAAAATATTAATAAATCAAATATAGAGTGATGAATAGTGTTGCACTAAATTTAATCATGCTCTATAATAGTGCAAGAAATAGTGTTGCATTGGAGCAAAAAAAACACTATTTCTTGCACCAAATTTGGATTTGGTGCAAGAAATAGAGTAGCATTGGTGATGGTCTTATAAGTACCAGCTCAGCTTTCTCCAAATTTCGCCGTTTAGCAAACAGCGCTTCTCAAAAGATTTCCAGAAGCTTCAATTCATCTTCTCCTTACTCCCAAAAAACTCCGTTTCCATATCATTTCTCAATTTCCGACACCAGAGGATTTTCCGGCGGTGAAGCGGTTACTTCTCCGTTTATTTCTCGTCAAAAAAATCTCAGCTTCCGTTTCTTTCAAGGTTCGTTTGTGGAACCTCCTTTTCCGTTAACTGTTTCCTTCTAGAATGTACTGTAAACGACGGTTTATACTTATATTTTTCAATTTATGTTGCTTAGTTACGGTTTTGTATGACAAATCAATGAATTTCCAGTTTCAGTGCCTTTTTGTGTGCTAATACCTATGAAAATGCATGTTAATGTTTATTCTGCGCCGAGTTTATGATGTATTAGTTAGTTTCGATGTTGTGATACTTTAATCCCACAGAATTCCAGCTATTTTCTCTTTATTTATTTATTTATTTAAAAGTTCACCTTGTATTCAAAGTTTTAGATGTTTTTCCTCAGTAGGTACGATCTCATTTTCTATAAGTTCATGTGAATGTTTTAGTACTTCAAATATTTGTTAATCTCTATATAAGTGAAGACTTGTCAAATTAATTCATAATTAGTGCTTATTTAAGTGTTCTTTTGGTGAATTTAGGATAATGGCTCACTCTCAAAACCAGGAGTTAGAGTATATGGTGGATGAGTACTATGACACTACTGATTTTGATAACAGTACTTTTGCGGATGAATCTCCACAAAGTACTGATGTTGATGACTCTTTAGACTCTGATTTTGAGGATGATTTCGAAGTGGTAAGCGAAATTTTATACTTTTGACATGTTAGTGGTGGTGTTGTCGATTTTTAGTTAACAATGTTGAGATACTGTTCTTTGATTTTGCAGAGTAAGTCAAAGACTGATACATCAGCTGTAGAAGCTAGAAATGGCAAGGATATACAAGGAATTCCTTGGGAAAGGCTTAATTTTACAAGAGATAAGTACCATGAAACGAGGTTGAAGCAGTATAAGAACTACGAGAACCTCCCCCGCTCTCGTGAAGATCTTGAAAAGGTTTCTTTTCACTCTTTTCCTTTCCAAAGTCGTGCCAATGCGTACTAGAAGTTTATGCAATTTATGCAACTTTGGGATTGACAGTTGGAGGAACATGTGGATTATCTTATTCACGGTTTACCGGCTTATATCTAGAGGATCTAGACTTATGTTATGTGCAGTTGAGATCCCTGAAGAGGTCTGAAATGATAGTGTGGACTACGATTAAGCACCTTTTCTTAGAATTTAAGAAAATATTTAATTGATTGACGCTTTATAAAGCTGCTGTCTTTTAGTCCATAGATGCCTTTCCTTCAGTTAGTGATTTAGGAATCTTTAAAATGGACAACTAGTGTCCCTTTCTTTTTTGTGACTATTTGGTGTCATATTGTTCCTTTTAGCTTATCCCCATACATCTTTTGGAAAATTGGATTAGTTTCATTATTTGTTTATCTAATTCACCAGAGTGATCATGTAAAAGTTGCTTAGTAAACAAAATTAGTAGGCCTTTGCAGCATAAGACAATCTAAATCTGTTGAATGCCAAGTTAAAAGCTTTTTTTTTCCTAGCCTTTTCCAAGCTTCTATTTAGAACTTTTGCTGTGGCTACGTCTAAAAGTTCCCTCACGATTTTAGGAGTGCAAGGAAGTAGGAAAAGGACACAGCTTCTACGACTTCCAGTTCAATACAAGGCTCGTCAAATCCACTATTGTGCACTTTCAGGTACAGAAATTCTCTGTCTTTTTTGTTTGTATAAATCATTGGTTAACCTTGATGCAGAAACCAGTTGATTGGTCTGCTTCCCCTGTAGTCTTAGTGTTTTGATTTAGTCTCTGTTGTCCCATTTTGCATAATTCAATTAAACATGGCAAACGACTCCATGGCCGCCTTTCTTCATTCTGGCCTTTCATGTTATTTTTTCCTCTTCCTTTTTTAGCTCTTCTGTAGTTTGTTATTTACTTCATAATAATTTTACTCTAATCTTAGCGTGAATTTAGAGTTAACAATAGGATTTGGTCATTTTGAGTCTTTTCATTGTGTGAGCCTTAGGTTGATGATCCCTATCACCTTTTTCTTCTTTCCATGCAATAACTGTACCTTTGCAGGTGCTATGCTCCTCTAACGTTAAGGATATTTTAATTTTAAACCTTTAATTTGTAAGCTTGCCCTCTCATTCTTCAGAGGTATGGAGTTCGTACCATTGTCGAAGAATTTAGTGAGTGTGATGCTTGATGTGGAATTACTCAAAACATTTAACTTTATGTACCTCTAACGCATCTTGGACAGCTTTCTGGGACAGTTTCTGGAATAATATGTCATCGGGGCCAGTATGTTTGATGCTTCTTATGGCCTCCAAGCTGGTGAACTTGCTTCTGATTTAAATTTAGTGTTAACTTGCCCATTTTTCTTGCAGCTTTCTTTTTCCTCTTCTGTTTAGAACACCAAAACACTATCCTGAACTTTGGGTGTTGCCAGTTTCATTTTGTTGCTTCCACAATATTCTGGCTATCTGCATGTGGAAGCTACAAGATTTATGTAGGGGCCAATCTTTCTGATTTTCAGAATTTAGATTTTTTTAATTTTCTTTTCAGTATAAGCAGTTCTGTTGTGCCCGGATCGAGTTTTGATCCGGGAGTTGTATTCACAATATCCTTTTTGTGCAGATTGTAAACACTTAAGGAAGTGTATCTCATGAAATTTTGTAATAGTACAAGACCCTTGTTTGGCGCTTCACTCTTGAATATTTCATCATGAATCAGCTGAATGTATATTGAGGCAGGGTTTTGATATGGAAGCTCAGTGGTGAGGACTGAACTTGCTTTTGGTGGGTTTGTAATTTGTTGCGGACATAGAATGTAGTTCATAGTCCAAGTTGCATGTTGTGTTCCATTCTAGCCTCTATGTGATTGAGAGTTCGTGCGACAAAGTGATAACAGAGCACACGTCATTTAGTTCTACAGTGTCAAAAAGTAAAGTTGAGCTGATGATTGAAATTTCCAAATTCCCCTTTTCGCTTTGTGTGTCCCTCTATAGAATTGCTTGATTTTATTTCTTTTCATCTTTTTATTTCCATGGTCCTGCATTTTCAGTTGGTCACTAGCTAGCTCTGTTGCCTTCCATGCATGGTTCATGCCTTCCTAGTTAGAGCCCAGTGATCATTGCCTACTTCTCGGCTATCACTTTAGAAGATATTAGGTTGATGAACATTTTTGCTAGTCATTATGTTGAGTGGTTAAGTTTTAATCCTTGTTGTCAATGTTGTTTGCTTGAATTGTATTTTTCCGATTAACCAATATCATGTGGGCATTGCAATTGTGTATGTATTTCAGCCTTAAAAGCAGGATAGCGGTTATTATGTTGAGCTGCTGGGGCGAGCGTTTTCCATATGGTATGATAGGGAGTATCTGAGAATTTAAGAGGCCTTTTTGGTCATTCTTCTGTTTATTTTTGGCTAACCTCTTAATGGCAGTAATAAGTTATTAAAATATTTGTGCTGCTTCATCATCTGGATCATTTAGATGTGTGAATGTGCAATCTCAAATGTCTCCTTACATATTGTTTCATGTGATATCTCTATTAAATGCATACACGAGTTCTCATTATCTTGTTTATGGTTCTCTCTTTCGTTTAAGAGGGTTGCATTTTCTCTTCTTTTTGTTTGTTGGAGATGGATTCTGCACCAGGCTCTTTAAGTACTTGCACAGAGTGGGGTGTAAATTTTAATCTGATGTATCACAACTATTGCCACAGTTTTGATCATTATCTGATTTCTTTGGTACATCTTCTCCTGTAGCTGCCATCTGCAGCCAGTGTCTGTTTCCATTAGGGAAAAAAGATTTAACTGATTTGTGATATTCCGTTGGGCTGTCCTATGAACTTTCTGACAACTGCAATTCTTAGTTTTGCAGTGTGCTAGTTAGGAAGTTTGACATTGAGTTGTGTGTGTGTCATTCATTTGAGAGTTCATGAATTCATTTAAAAAATTTCAATGGCATTATTGTGTGGTGTTCTGCCTTGCTGAACCACATTTTGAACTTGGGAGCGTAGTTGCTGATTTATTGTCTTTGTTATGTGGTGTTCTGCCGTTAATATCACTTGTGAACTTTGGGCTCTGTTGCTCATTTACTGCTCCCAAGAGTTTTCCTCTCTTTCCTATTCTTTTTGGTCCTTTCTAAAGCACTTGGCACATGCCTTCGCAATCTATCTATTAAGCTATTTGATTCCATTGATGTCTTTAGAAATCATGCATTATTTGAGTTGTGTTGCCTTTTAATATGGACAATTACCGAGGCATAGTGTAGCTTGCTCACCCATCATCTTTTCTTTACATCTGTTCTAGATTGTGGTGAGGCATCTCTTTCGAGTCTCTCTGGCATGCTTCTTTTGCTGCATCATTTTTGCTCTCGTCATTGTTACAGTTGGCAGTTCCTGACTTATCTGGGTTTCTTCTCTGTTTCGATTTATAGTATGAGCAAAGAATTACTATTCGTTTGCTTGCCCGACTTGCTTTCTAACAAACCAGCTCTATCACAGAGGATATGTGTATCTATGAGTGGTAGATTGTTCAGTTGTAGCAGGCTAGCAGCTGTTCAGTCGCTAGCTTATGCGTCATTGACCACTAATATTTAGGACTAACTATATGCTGACTTTCGGCTTAACTTTGTTTTTAGGGCTTTCATATGTTGTTCTCTTCCATTTTTTTTTGTTCTTCTGGAGCCTGATCCAGCGAAGGAGAGAGGGGGGCGATTGAATTTTGTGGTCCATTCTACATTGTGTTTGTGTAGGTTATTTATTCCAAATTAGATACTTTGCTCTTCAGCTAGCCATATGGTTGAGACTGTTATTGAGAACTGTCTGAACACTGAACTGTACATGACTGCATGCCTAGCTTTTGATATCGTCCTAGTAAAACTTAGGTTCAGATGTCGTAATCAAGTATTGCTGTGCAGAAATGATACTTTGTTTTTCTTAAGCTGCATAATAAGTTTTTTCTTTTAACAAGTGACAGCATTCTGAAGTTGTTTTTTGCTTTATTGGATATTTTTATAGTAAGTGATGTCATTGTTTGCTCCACTAGAAGCTTGTATGCTGTCCACTGATTGGAGTTTCAACCAGTTTATATTTTTGTTTCAGTTGAGGAATCTCTTATGGTCTACATCAAAACATGATGTGTATCTGATGCAAAACTACTCCGTGATGCACTGGTCCTCACTTCTCAGGAAGGGAAAAGAAGTGCTAAATGTTGCTAAGCCGTTGGTGCCCACTATGGTTAGTAATGCTTTGTGAATTTGTTTATCATTATATGCTTAAATGACTTTTGGCAGTCGAGAATTAACTCTTTGGTTTGTTCAGAAATACCCTGGATCAGTGTCTCAAACACTTTCTCGAGTGCAAATCAGCACTTTGGCAGTCAGAGATGGTTTAATGGCTGCTGGTGGTTTCCAAGGGGAGCTTATCTGTAAGGTAGGATGACAATATAGTGATATACTGTCTGAACAGATTTGTATTCTTCCTGAAGTAATGGATACTGATATGATTTTAACTCGTGCAGTATCTACACCATCCTGAAGTTGCATTCAGTACAAAAATAAGCAACGAAGAGAACGCCATAACTAATGCTGTGGATATTTGTTATAGTCCGACGTAAGTCCCTGAAATTTGTCTTTCTGTAGCTTATCTTGAATTCGTTGTGGAGACTGTCGTACCGATGCTTATATGGTTCTTTGCAGTGGCTCGATGAGGGTAATCACTGCTAATAATGATCAGCAAGTCAGAGTTTTCGATGCGAAAAGCTTCGCTTGCACCAGTCATTATACATTCCCTTGGTCTGTTAATGTGAGTAGCAGGGTTTTAAATTTCCTCTTATGAAGTAGTATCACTTCTCGTTGGCTCTCTACTCACAAATCTCTATTTCATTGCAGAACACCTCTGTTAGCCCAGATGGTAAACTACTTGCTGTCCTTGGTGATAGTCCAGAATGTCTAATTGCTGATGCTCAAAGCGGGAAGGTTGGTCTCATCTATATCTTTTTAAACGAGGGGGTGTTAACCCTTTAACCCTACAATTAGTTGCTCATATGTTGACCTTTGCCTGATGCTTCAGGTTGTCAGCAACCTAAAAGGTCACCTAGATTATTCATTTGCATCAGCTTGGCACCCGAATGGAACAATTTTGGCAACTGGTAACCAAGACACAACTTGCAGGTTGTGGGATATAAGGAACACATCACAGTCTATAGCAGTACTCAAGGGAAGGATGGGTGCTATCCGTGCAATCAAGTTCACGTCAGATGGATGCTTCATGGCCATGGCTGAGCCAGCTGATTTTGTCCACATTTTCGATACACAATCTGATTATGGCGCCTGTGAAGAGATTGATTTGTTTGGCGAGATTGCTGGGATATCCTTCAGCCCCGATACTGAAGCTCTCTTTATTGGAGTGGCAGACCGAACCTATGGAAGCTTGTTGGAGTTTAACCGTAAACGTAGTCACCACTACCTTGATTATGTTTTGTAGTGAAAGGCGCCTGACCTTGTGGTTTAATTTAGGGCATCTGCTTGTTTGGTGTATAGTTTGTGTATAGTTTGCCGGCCTTCTATGACGATGCAGGCACTTCTAGGATTTGGATAACTAGTGCGATCTCGAAAGAGCTATGATGACGTTCCAGTGGCTGACTTTCTAGGGACTGTTTCTGCGGAAGCATATTATTAATCTGAAGCAGGAAGGTTTTGCAGTAGTAAATGCAAATCGCAGTGGATTTTGTATATCAGAACAAACTAAACTTTTGTTAATGGATGGCCAATTTTATCACAATTAAGTGTGTTCGCTTTGCTTTTTTGTTTCTATATTTTATCCTTCTAATTTTCTGTTTCCTTTTGGCCTTCACTCTGCTCCCTTTTTCCCGGATCCAAGAGCCAGTTCATTGTCTGTATCCAACTATCTAAGAAACGCAGCTTAGTCTAACCGCCAACGTCTCGGAGTCGGTGTGCGATTGATTCCAAACTAAGCCTCTTTTATTTGCAACGAAAGGAAAGAAGAAAACGATGCTGAACTTTGGACGTAAAATTGGTCTCAATTCGATCAGAAAAAGACACAAACTTGCCAACTTGCCCCGGTTAAGATAAATTCAGATTAGTTTATAGATCACAGTGGGGTATCCAGTTTTTGTTCCTTTTGATATTGCTCCTTTCACGGAATCTGATAGTACTTAGGTGAGGAGGCATGTAAACTAGGATTTGTGTGAGATTGGCCAAAAGTTTGAACACTTGAAAAGTTGGTTTATTGTTTAAACTGTCACGGTTATTATCCATTTTAATTGTTTGCAATGAATGACTACCAATTTTACTAAGTGTCAAATCCAAGTTTAACTAAACAAAAATACTTGCGAAAAATGAATGAGGAAACTCCCACTGACAACTACAAGTCACTGATATCAATTAAAATAAGGGGAAAGCAATAGCAACAACAATGACAAGACTTAGGATAATCTTATGAAGATTATGTATTGAAACTGACGTAGACTTGATCGAAAACAACCTTCAAGTTGTCTGTATTTTTTAAAGCAAAGAATGGAAATGATGCCGAGAAACGAATAGTAGAAGTAACACCTTTCGTAGTTACGAGAAACACACGAATAACCTAGCTTGAATTTGGGGGGCCCTTCGTTAACATTTAGAAAGTAGAAACTGTCTTTGATCTCTCAAGGATAATGTTATCTTTTCTATACTACTAAGCTGAAATTTGTTGAAAGTTATATTGATTTGAAGCTGAAATTAGACAGACATTTATAAGTTAAGAAATAAAATAGAAAGACATTTTTATCTGCGGAAGCGTTTCCTATGCTCTTGTTGTTTTCTCTTTTCCATATTCCAAGTAATAAGTTATGTGATTTAGCAGGTATTTTAGAATGTATTTTGTTCATCATTTTGATATGAGGAAAATAAAACTCGTACTGATAGTATTTTGCTGCACTTTTGATTTGAATGACAAATATTGTATGCAATAAAGATGAACCAAATGAGTTCGGTTTAACTCCAAAAATTAATAAAATCAACTTTCGATAAGTAAAAAGTACTACCAAACAAACGAAGCAGATGGGTGATTTAACGCCGTTAGTGGGAGTGTTCTCTATAAATTGTCAACCATAAAATTACCCCGTTAGCTGAATTCAAGAATTATATCCCACAACCTGCAAATACAATTTTAACTTTCAAAAGATATTTTTCATCTTATCTTCAATTTTTATTTCAAGTTTCAACTAAATCTATGTCCAAACGCTAGTTTGGTAATCACCAGATCCTTAATTGAATCGTGAAACCTTTTAAGATTGTTTTACCAACAAAGAACTCCAGGAATATATATGGGTACACATTGGAGTTAATTGTGTTAGAACATGGGCAGCAGAAGCAAGCATAAAGAGAGGTATCACAAACATGTAATCTAGACAGAGATTGAATTACGGATTAGAAGCACTAACCTCTCGAAGCTGTTGCACAACTCGTTCATAGAAGACTTGCCACAAAAGACTTTTGACAAGCATGTAGAAGGAATGGGTATTAGAGTTGTAGACGCATGGTTATGAGTCTAAGTGAGATTGTTGGAATATACTATTAGCCAATCGGTTTAGCTATAGTATTATGTTTTATTCTTTATGGAATAATTATTTATTTAATTTATTCAATTTAATAAAGTATTATTTTAAATAGATCGTTTGTTAAATGTGCGTCCTTTAATTATGTAGTAGACGATTTAGTGTATGGAGTCTTAGCTCATGCACAGAAGGTTAAATTGTCGGTTCTCATAATTAATAAATTATGTTCACAATCGAAGATATTGTTGGGCAAGATATCTTGATGATTGTAGCACAAGATTAAAGTATAATTTATCTTGATTATGGGAGTGGTTTTACTCCAACTTCTTATTCTAGTATACTTAGTGTATATTGAACGGACCAAGTAGAAAAAAGATATTTTTGTACTGAATATATAAAATATTTTTTCTGATTCATTAAATGAGCTTATACTCCTAATCTTAATATAGTTATTATGATCAGTGTGATTTGTTTATTATTTTGATTTTTCAAAAGGTACAACTCTATTCAAAGTTAGTGCATGCCTAGTTGACAGAATTCATGACTCGACCTTGAGCTTGATTATAACCCTTTAGTAAGCTTATAAGTTTTCGTGTGAAAACCCGGCTGGTTGATTTTGTATCAGTCACATGAAATAGTTTAAGCGGAATTATAAAGGATTTAATTAGTTGATTTAATTAAATTGTCAGTGATTTAGTTTAAATAACTGATATTTTAATCTTAACATGGGGAATTAAAATAAGTGTTGATGATTTTCAAAACTCATTGAGGAGTTCATTTACAGTTTTTAGTGGAATAAATTGTGATTAACTATAGCAGGATTTAATTCATCTGAATTTCGAATTAATGTTATAATTAGGAGCCTCTTATTATTTCTGTGGTCCATGCTATACCTAGTAAAACCTTGACAAACTTAGGAAAAAAGTTACTTGGGAGAAAAGTTCTCTGTTTGAGTTGGACTAGGATTCTACTACACTAGCAGAATCCTACAAGTTTTTTTGCCGTTTTTTGGCTTAATTTCGGGTCTACAAATAGAAGACTAGTTTTTCACCTAATAACTCACTCTTCAGAGTAGTAATATTTGCTCACACAAATATTTTCGTCCAAGGATTTAGTAGGAGCATAGCAGAAGACTGCAACCCTGGATTCTTGCTTTGTGAATGACTTGTGCGATATTTTCGAGAGATTAGTGCTCTAATCTCTATAATTCAATCATTGTCAAGATTACATGTTTGCAATACCGGTATTTATGCTTAATTCTACTGCGAATGTTCTAACAACTAGTATCAGAGCTTAGTTTGGTGGGACGAGTATGAAGATGGTAAAGTGATGGTGCGAGACAATGCGCACACAAGAAGAAGCTAGTTGCAGGCTTCGGTTGCCATAATACTCTAACAATGTAGGTGACACACAGTGAATCTCGAAAATTAACCCGTATACCGTGGCAATGAATAACAAATATATATTTCAAACTTCTCCGCGTGTCCCACTAACAATTATTCGAGGTTCTACACCCTTTTTCCTACCCTCTATATCCTCTCGGAACCTAGGCCATTTCCATTAGCTTTCCCTTGAAACTTGAACCTTTGAAAAGTTTGTCTCCTTTAGAATTTTCAGAGCCAAGTGTAGAGAGAAGTAGGCAAAAGGGAAGAAAGATGGTCTTTAAATTACATTTCTGAGCTCCAGTAGTATATTATCAAGTTATGAGCTTTCTAGAGTTATGGTGTTATTATGAGCTCTCTAGGGTTATGTTGTTAAAAGATTGATGAAAATCTCTCACTGGTTTAAGAAAAGCTTTGAAAAGTTTGTTTTCTTTGAAGATTTTTAGAGCAAAGCGTAGAGAGAGAGAAGAGTAGGGAAAAGGAAGATAATGGTGTCTTTTTGATTTATAAAGAGAATGGTGTTTTCTTGATTTATACTTCTTAGCTCAAAGCAGTAAAGGTTACGGAGATCTCTCGTAAGTTGAAAAAGGTATTAAAAAGTATTTTTTTTTAAAAGGGTTTTCACCAACCCACTCCCCTTCCCCACCCCATCCTCACCCTAAATAAAAATATTATTAGTAGTAATTTCTTTTCATGTGATAGATAGTTTTTTTCATTTCAACAAATGAGTATTTTCTTTTCATGATATAAAAAGTATTTTTTATTTTAATAAAAAAATTATTTTCTTTAATTTCAACAAAATAATGTAATAAAAAGTATTTTCTTTTATTTCAACAAAACGAGTATTTTCATTTTATGATGTAGAAAAAGTATTTTCTTTCATTTCAACAAAAAATATATATTTTCTTTTCATGATGTAAACAATGTATTTTGTTTTATTTCAATAAAATGAGTACTTTATTTTCATGTGGTAGAAAGAGTACTTTCTTTTTCAACCAAAAAAAATAGTATTTTCTTTTTAGTTATGGAGCACAAATTTTAATGTTATTTTTGCGTAAGAAAAATAAAGCGACACATTAGTTCCTTTGGGTTTGTACGAATTTTTAGAAGAATAATTAAATTCTTGAAGAATAGGTATTTGGAAAGGGGGGAGGTGGGCAACTGAAATCATCAAGTTTTGACATCGTATGAGGAATTTATGGTCATTTTACTAAAAATTAGGTTGCCAGATTTTTCAGACTAATTACGAAATTGCCACTGAATTCGTATTTAAAAATCTCCATTAATTTCATATATTGAAGGCGAAATATAGAAACAGATCCTTTAAGTTGTCCTTAACGATCAACCAGACACCTCAAACGACCACTTTACCATTTTAACCTTTCAAGTGGCTATTAAGTGTACCTCATGAACACCCGAGTTTGGTAAACTATATGTGTGAATTACACTCGCTAATGACATGTCAAATGAACCAATTAAAGAATGCCACATATAAATTATAATAAAAAATTGCACAAATATAATTAACCAAAATCAGATAAGTATAAAGAAAAAAAAAACCTTTTTTTACCATTAACCAGACCACTTCCGCCCCACCCATAGCCAACTTTCAGAAAATTTGGATGAGATACAGATTATATTAGCAAAAAGGATGGGATCCTGAACAATAATCTAGCGGCCAAATGGTTTTGGAGGAGTTTGAGTTTCAATCATTGTGTTTCGCTCATTTCAGGCGTTTTACAAGGTAAATAGATCTGGACATCATGTGTTATAAATTGCCATTTAAGGAAACCTTGGAGGTCTTCTTCTCTAAAAAAAAAATGGAGTAAGACCCTAAAGAA